CTGTTTCGAATTATGCGTCAGACAGTACAGTTAAGAATCGAGTCGAGGTATAAACATCGATTTATATGTTATCCAATGCACGTATTTAATTTCTCACGGTTGCATTAACTAGATTCAGACATGTCGATCAGTATGCGCTACGAATAATAATGAGCACTTATATTATATGTGATATAGACGTGATTTATTTTTACATCGAGCGTATCACGTTCTACAACTTATTCATTCCCGTGCTTTTATTAATGTTTCGTTGTGTTCGTAATCAATATTATCATTCGAGATATTACACAAGCTATTCTATTCAAATGATACGAACATCTCTCTGATTCCTGTTTTTTTAACAGGAATGTAGAAATGTATCTTCGCATTGAAATAGAAATTATCTATAGGAATTAATTATATTGAATTGTTGTTCTATATAACTGGAAAAAAAAGAAAGGAAGGAAGGAAAGGATAAATAAATAGCTACAATTCCAACAAACTTGAAATTCAAACTTGAAAAGATAATTTTGTTTGTACTGTAAACTACCGATAATAATTTTTAAACTGATATTTGTTGAATCAATATCAAACACAAAATTTATCTTAAATAATAAAAATTGTATAAATAGAAAAATTTGTATATAGAAATGCATTACACATTTTAATAATTCGTCTGATGCAATTCTTCGATTAACGAATTAAAATCTCTCGCGAAAAGGATACGATCTTTCTTATTTTTAGACAAGAAAAGGGAAGAGGAGATTGAGATCGTTGTCGAATTTTTGGACAAGAAAAAAGTGGTGAAATTGGTGTAGCGTTTTTCGAATATAATATTTCGACATTTTTCTTCGTAGGCGTATGCAACGATCGTGGCCTCGAAGTCTATTGCGGTACATAATATTATTGTCTCTCGTTATTACGTATATATTCTTGTCGAGCAACTTATCACAGCAAATGGTAAAAAGCGGTGCGTGAATTTGTACGACAAAAACACGTGTTACGACATGTTGTACGAGGAATGGAGGAACAAAAATGGTAAAAAATTAAATTGGAGTTAAATTGGGCTTCTCAGGAAGAAAAAAATTTTTAAAAACTTGTATCCGATTTTTATTTTCCAAGATAAAAATTTTTATGTGTAAAAATTTATTTAAAATTTATTTATTTCGCCTTCTTTCTTATGTAAATGCAAAAAGTATTATCTTGTGTGTTTCATTTCGTTCGATTGTAAATTGATTTGAATGGAAAGGTTGGAAAGAACGAACTCGTAAAACTTTCATGCGTTTACTTTTTCCTTCGCGCTATCCCATTCTGTCAATGACCATTCATTTCCTTCACAATCCGGAGGAGAAGTAATCGGTCGTTTCAATCGTAAGTAAACCTAATATTTAATGGAACAATTAACACACGTTCCACTTTTATAAATAAAACTTATCAAATATGCACTTTTAAAATAAATATTTTAAATACGATAATACGATATTACAAATTATATGCACTCGCAAATTGAAAAGCAAATAAAAAGTGGAACGTTTTGATTAAATTTATCTCTTTATCGTTTATTTATTTTTAACATTTATCTTCATTGAATTCATATTTTATTCTTATCGATGTATATTTTTAGCATGGGCAGGAAATAAGAATGAAAGAATATGATGTGAAGATAATATATGGAATAAAAAAATAAAATGTCAATCATGATTGCAACATATATGTATATGAATTTTGCAATGAAAATTTGTCGACAACGAACGATATATATATATAT